GAGAGAGAGAGAGAGAGAGAGAGAGAGAGAGAGAGACAGGGAGAGGAGGAGTACAGTAAAACATTTTTGATTTCGTGACATATAAGACCCAGTGCTCACTGCCAATCGAGTTCAGTCGAAGCCAGCCAGATTTTCCTCTAGTCAAAAGCCACTGTTATGACACAATTGTGCTGTTGTTTGAGTTTCGATCAAAATGTGCCACAACAGCACAATTTTGCTCCTCTTTCATCCTCCAACAATCACTTTCTCGCCTCGTGCCATGTTAGCCCGATAGGATTTTGATCTGCGTCACACGAGAGTCGTCCAATGTGGCGATGTTTACTCACGATGATGACGCGCATCACTGGAGGTGTATCGGGTAGAGAAAGGATCGAATGTCAGGGGGGGCAAATGCCAACCGTCGATCCTACGGACCCCGAGAGACCACACGCTGGGGCAGTATCGATCTGCAGAGTATCGATCTGCACATTACAGATCAGGGCCCTGATTTAAAACACAGGCGACAGAAGAGGAATTTACATTAGACGAAATGACTTTGCACTGGAGTTGAACAGTAAATGGAAGAGGATAAATAGTCGATAGTCAGGACGAATCTTATGGTGAAGGGATCCCTCCTTCTCATCTTTTCTCTCTCTCTCTCTCTCTCTCTCTCTCTCTCTCTCTCTCTCTCTCTCTCCACACACACGTACATTTTTATATAATAATCCACACACTCTCTCTCTCTTTCTCTCTCCACACACACACACACACACACACACACACACACACACACACACACACACACAGTCTCTCTCTCTCTCTCCCCACACAAAGTGTGTGAGAGTATGTGTGTGTGTGCGTGCTTGCGTGCGCACATACGCGTGCGTGTATGATATAATATATATATATATATGTCGCTTTTAAGCACAAGGGGGCTATCCCGAAAAATGCTGTTTTGAGAAAATCGAAGGTAAAGTTTTTGCCCCTTGTTCAGTTTCTGTAAAAGACAAGGAGAGTTTTCTCCATAACCAAAACAATATACACACCAGCGAAACCAAACTTCTCCTAAAGTTAGGGCAACGCCCACTTTTGGTGGTGGTCAAGATTTCTGGAACCCCTAGAAATTTGGGTTAGCCCGCTTGTCCTTAAAAGCGACCAAAATAATATATAGGGCCTATACACACGCATACATACATACATGTATGGAGTCGAATATAGTTTGAATTCGGCTCTCCTTCATAGCAAAGATAGTACAAGACAAGATGGGCCACTCAGCCTAAAAAGTGTCCGCAGGAAGTATGCTCTTTGCTTCAGATGGCGCTGCAGTCTGTTTTGAAGCTCTCTTTCGTTTTTCCAGAAGAAGAATAGGAATACCACCTCCTTGCGTGCGCAGATCGACTGCTGTTCATCAGCAGTTCGGGTACGTTCAGTGCGGAGTTTTAGGGTTTTAAAAATTTTTAATGACCTCTCGCCCTTCATTCTAAAGTCAAATTAAACGAAGAAAACCATCTCCTTTTCCTCCGGAAGAGGTTTTTTGTCAGCGTAACCATTTTTAAAGAGCGTTCTTCCGAAATTTACCCCAAAATTTGCTAGTTTCACTTTGATTTTAAAAAACTCAAGTTGGGTAACTCTGTTCGCAAAGAGTGCGCTTTTGTGAAGAGGGCGCCACCAAATTTTGATGACACTTTTTTAATTGGCTCAAAGAGAGAAGTGGCCCATCTTGTCTTATACTATCTTTGTTCATAGTAAAGATTTAACGCCCCCTTTTAGCACTGTAAGGTAATTTAAGGGGCAGGACCTCTCTAATGAACGTCCATCTCCGATAAGGCGTAGAGCCTTAAAATTATTATAAAAACTCCCCAAAACAACCCTAGTTCAAACTTCCTCTCAAGGTTTTCGAACCATGGCCATTGATACACACTGAGCCATCGACGGACTCCCTCAACACATAGAAGTTTCAGGTTCACAAACAACAACGAGTATTTCGTTTAGTTAAGTTTTACTAGATCCAGATTTAGTAAGAGTTTACGACATTTGAATCCAACTGCGCTATAAACACACGTGAGCTCAGGTTCATAAACAGCAACCGTGGGTGGTTGGAGGGTGCTCTGGTGTGGTTTGCTCCTTCTTTCCTATCAAACATCTGTCGTCCTTATCTCCCCTCCTTCTTTTTTTTTGGTGTGTTTATTACTCTCTTGTAACACCTCTAATCTTCGGCACTTATATGATCTTATTGTGTTGCAAGTGCCGTAAAACTTTTACAAGAACTAAAACAGCAACCGGTCAAATGGACGTCTTCCTTCATCACTGCCGAACGTTAATACAAAATGTTTCATTCGTCTAAACCTGTCACTATTTTGACCAAATGAATGATACTAAGAGCGACGAACACGCCTCAACAAACTGTACAAAAAAACAACAACTCTACAACAAACTCTAGATCAACAACAAAGTCTACAACAAACATACTCTACAACATACTCGATTTTTCATTTTTGCCAAATTCGGACATACAACAGTATAGACTGACGCCGACAACGTATTTAGTCCGTTACGGTTTTCTGTTTGACGAGCTGTGAGAAAAT